GTCAGGGTTCCCCAAGAACATGGAGCTGACAGGTAACATAACAGGTCAGAAAGGTTTTAACACTTTGGGGTTCTATTTGAGCTCTCTTGGTTTATCTCGTGAGTCAAGTTTGTACACCTAACGGTAGTAACATTATGTGGCACCCCTGAAAGGACCTCTGTGGCACCCTGGTTGAGAATCACTACCCTATGTACACAACCTTGACCTTTGTGCTGTTACTTTGAAGGTCTGACCTGCAAAATCTAATTTATTTTCTATGCTGCTCAGGTGTTTGAAGAAACTGGTTTTGATATCAAAGATTACATCTGCAAAGATGACTACATTGAGCTGCGAATCAACGACCAGATAGCACGATTGTACATCATTCCAGGAGTTCCAAAGGACACAAAATTCAATCCCAAAACCAGAAGAGAAATTCGGGTATGCATAATTATTTCTTGTGCTGAAGGCTCTGTGTTGGCAGTAACTTAAAGAAGGTTGATCAAAATTAAGGGCCTGCATGATATTAAAAGAAACAGGTGATGAATGCTCCAAATGCAGATTGAAGGCAGCATTTCATCACTAGGTTTTGTCATTTTCCTGCAGGTCTGATGTGAAGACTGATTGCTGACCAGCTGTTCATTAAGATGCCACGTTTATCATAGCCTGCATGCTCCAGTACTAGGTTTATCTGTGACAGTAAAGCACATCCTTCTCTCTTCTAACTGTTGTTATATTTTTGTAGCTAATAGTCTTTATTAAATCTTAACTAAATTCCTTGGTGCTTGGATTCTTCTGAGAATATCAGTATATAAAGGATACTCTGCAAAAGCCTACACACCAGAAAAGCAAAATGGGGGCTGCTCTAACTCTCTAGGCAGCCCATACAATGCAGATCTTAGTGTGCAGCAAACACCAGGGATCAGGCTGGGGTGTGGAGTGTGGTGGGAGCCAGCCATTGTGTGTGATATTTGTACTCAGTGGACTTACGGAAGCTGTTGCAGAAGGAAGAAATCCTGAACATTTCTGGTACTGTTGGTGACATTAATCTTGTCATGGCATTTGAATTTTTCTTGTCATGCAAATAAATTCAAGAGCAGTATTTGAAAATTAGGATCAATTTTAACCGTATCTGTATTTTTGGAATTCCAAATGCAAGAGGAATGCCCTCTTCCTCCTATTTAGATTCCTCAGAGGTATAAATGGTCTCCTTGCTTTAGGTGCCTTTTTGATGTGATCTAGCTTAGGGGTTCCCAACCCTCAGGCCGCAGCCTGGTACTGGGCTGTGAAGGGTTGGTTGCCAATCTGCAGGAGGGTTGGCTGCTGGAGCAGAAGTGACCACGGACCGGCAAACTGTGGACTGGAAGTGAATGGCGTACTGTGGACCGGCAGCCAACCCTTTTTTATACTGAGTATAAAAAAGGGTTGGCTGCCTGCCCGCAGTATGCCGGTCACTGCTGGTGCGCAGTTTGCTGGTTTGCAGTCACTTCCGGTCCACTGTTTGCCAGTCCTCAGCATAAAAAGATTGGGAATACCTGATCTAGCTAAACTTCGAGTCTTTTTTGAGGACTGGATAGAATTGTTTTGGAAAGTCCTTGCAACATTCTTTACCCTTTTAAAGTATGCATGACTTGGCTGAAGCATGCAGCTAGAAAGAGGTTAAGTGAAGTTTTTTGTATATTGAATGGGTTTTCAGAGTACTTTATTTTTATGTAATTCATTTTAATGGCATGTTATGCAGAGTTCAAAATAGAAACATCATATTTGTTGTTATCAAAGTCTCATATGTTAGAAAACAGCTGTCTTGCCCCCTTTTTGGATTGCTTTTTTTTGTCATCAACCATAGGCTGGATTCAGTACTATAACAATACTTCAGTTTTTCTTATGTAGACGTAGTGCATGCTGGAGCATTCTATGAGTGGGTGCTGGTGATCTGTTTGTTTGCATTTGAAATAAAATGTGGGGGATGGGAATGGTGAGAGAGAAATTTGCAAAACTATTTGTAGCCTCTGATTACCCTGGCCTTTCCTGGCATTGATGCAAATAAAGCACTGTTTGTTATTATAAACTTTATTTTAAATTAAACTTAATAAGTTACTGAGTACCATAGTCCACATTTTATGTATCCCTATCCTATCATTTTGGTGTGTTTTATGTATTCGTGTCCATTACAGTGTGGTTGTGGTCAGAAAAGTGACTGTACCATTTTAAATAATTAGGTATGGTAATGAACAAACTCTTGTCATAGTTGATTAATTCAAACCCTCCTGCAGTTTGAAGAATATCATTGTGGTTGATGTGCCATTCACTTAAATCCCTTCCAGACATCACTAAAGTAATTACTTTTTTCCTGTGTTTCAGCATATTGAATGGTTCTCAATTGACAAGTTACCATGCCATAGAAATGACATGACCCCAAAGTCCAAGCTAGGTTTGGCACCTAACAAGTTTTTCATGGCTATTCCCTTTATCAGGTATGTTCAAGAAAAGTCAAAGGCTAGCCCAGAACATTTCACCCTTTCTTGGCAAAAAGACTGTGTGTGTGTGTGTTTTGTTTGCTTAATTAAACTAGATTTTACTGATTTTTTTTTTTGATTTTTTTTTTTTTTTAAATGCTAATATTTATAGACCATTGAGAGACTGGCTTTCTCGAAGGTATGGAGACTCCTCTGATAGTGACAATGGATTCTCATCTACTGGGAGCACGCCGTCCAAACCCAGCTTGGAAAAAGTGAGGTAATAAGTCGTGTCACTTAGAGCCCTGTCTTCAGCCCTGCATAAAGCAAGGGTGGTCATAAAGCAAAAGTGTTTTTTTTTTCTGTTTTAGAGTATTAACATTTATTATAATATAGTTTAAAAGTATTATTCTTAATAGGGTGAAAGGTTTAAACAGTGCTATCTGGCAAACTTTTTAAAATGGCAAAACTGAGAGAATGTCTTGAGTTTCCAGATGGAAATGTGGAGCACAAAGAAAGAAAGAGCTTTACAAAAAATTGAATTTCTCTATCCGAAAAGGTAGAACAAGTAGACAAGATTTCTAAAAATGTCAGGAATAATAGATCAAAGTTAAAAAGTCACTAAAAACAAAGGTTTTGTGAAGTAATTTCAGAAGCAGCTGGATGAAACTTATGTTAGAGTGATAGCAAGAGGAGTGTTTTAAAAATCAGTGTGTGATAAGTCATTTGTAGACTCAAACTTTGAATAGAATTGGGTGGCAGGAAGGCTTTAAACGGAAATGAGCATATTGTAATGTTCATGGGTTGCAGCAACTTCTCAAGCAAACTCCAGCTCCCAAAGAGTTTTCTTCAGCAATTCAGTGTAGTTCAGTGCCAAAGTTGCTGCTGGATAAAATAAAAGTAAGTGTCACTGTGCCTGCCTCTTCCTGCTAGGTGTGTCCCACTAGAGGAGGGAGGTTTCTTGTTACTTGATAAATAGGAGAAAGGGGAGTTTTTTTGTTATCTGATAAATACCCTTGGCTTTCAAAGCACAGGAAATATTTTTTCCTTACTGTCCAGCTGTTTCCCAAGTAAGCAAATGGTAAATGAGGAGAATACTAAGTTATACCTCTGTTTTCTCTAGTTCAGTTTTACTTCCACACCTTTCTACAGAAGCAAAAAAAAATGCAGTTCTGCTCTGATCAGAATAGCTTTGAAGTTTGCTTGCAAATAAAATGTTTGTTTGGTTTTTTTTAATGTGCTAGATCCAAACTTCGTTATAGTCAGCAGGTGTTTGCAGATGGGCCTTTAGGAGACCAGTGGACAAAGCACAGGCAGCCACAACCACAGAAGCCATATAATCATTCTGAGATGTCTGAAGTTTTAAAAATTAAGGTAGGCTTTGTTTCAGAAGCCACTGGGTTTGTTTGGGCCCTTAAAAATTGATAGTACTTATTCAGACTCTTGGCTTTTGTTACCGGAAGGGGTGGTGGAACCATTATTACTTAAAAGGCTTTGGTATTTGGAGCAGGGGATAGGATAGGGCTTTGGTTGATTTCTTCTCTCACCTCTTCTGGTTGCCTGGTGGGTGAGAAGCTGTTTTTAGTTTTATTGTGCCTCAGTTTCTCATCTGCAGAATATTTACTTTCAAGAATGCTTTGAGACATTTAGGTGAAAATTGCCTTTTGGCAAGTGTCATAATACAGCGGTGCATGCTGCTGATGTTTAATCTTAATATTTACTGCTTTCTTTGGGGGTATGATGGCTGACTCAGAACGTGAGGGGCAATGGTAGAAAGCAATATCAAGACGCTTCTAACCAAAAGAAGAGGACAAATGGGGTCCACAGCCAACCAGCTAAACAGAACCACACACTGGTAAGATATACAACAGTAACTGTTGCATTAACAACTTTGGTGACATTTAATTAAGTGTAGACTAAAGCTTTGGTGGTAAACAGTAGATTGTCCAGTGATGTAAGCAGACCAAATTGAACAGTGTCCTTTGACTGTTGCGTATTAGAATTCCTTTGGGTAGCCTATTGCAAGTGAATTCTAGTGCATAATGGTGTTGGAGCAACGTTGTAGCCACAGTGGTTCAGGTATAATGTGAGACAAGTCAGATAAGCTTTTGAATGCAAGGCATTCAATCTTGTGAAGAATTTAAAAGTTTGTTTAACTTGATCCTAAGCATGTAGTCAGTCCAGCAAAAGATACCACCCGTGAAAACCATTGCTTTCCAATGCATAGCAGTCGGGCCTTTCTGTTGCTTTCTAGGTCTCTGCCAGATAAATGCCTAGTATATGATGCCAAGTCAAAATATACGTATAATTGGTTTGTGTGTGATGACCTATTTTGTTGCATGGAAAAACTACATATTAATTGTAAAATGTTTGCTTCCTCTCTGGCTAGAACTTGGACTTGTAGACTTGGAAATTTCTACCCCAGAGTCTTATCTATCCTATGCCACAGTAGGACTAAATTCAGTAATGTTTAGCCCCAAAGTTCATAGCAGTACTAGCCTGTTGTGTTCCCTTGGGATATTCTTTCTTGCACCCACACAAACACCCTCCCCTGGCTCATTGTTGAAGAGTTTGCATATCAGATGAATGCTCTTTTTGACAGTGGTTCTTGTTGAGGAGATGTTCTCCCCATGTTCTCCAGGCTTCACTCCTTGTGCCGTCGTTCTGGCAGTATTATTAATTTGGCCAAACTCTGAAATGCCCCAGGGAAGAAGGCAGCATGTTGCCAGCCTCAGTGGCTCATCTCCCTGACTTCCCAGGCCTCTATGGCCATGTGACTCAGTTTGTCAGTCTGTGTCTCGGCTGCTTCTTGCTTTCTGCTAATAAGCTGGACTTATTAATGCTGCTGTTGCTTCCTAATTCCCTGCTGTCTGGTGTCACGTAGAAGTGCAGGGAGCATGCACTGTGATCCAAATAAGCCTCCCTTTTGCAGAAAGTAGGGAAGCAGGGGGATGGTTGCAGGCAGGGTCCCAGCAGGGCAGGGAAAGGGAACAACATGTCAGGTAACAAGTTGCAGCAGAAATGCTGAAATCTGTGGCCTCTTAGAAAAAACCAGGTTCCATAATTCTGGAATCCTGGAGTCTGTTGGAACCTTGACTGAGATTAATGGGGAGTTCACACTTCAGAGCTGTTGGAGGCTGTCTGCAGACTCATGTACCTGCCAGTGCATCTGTTTGGCTTGTGTTGTGAAGGTGGTCTTCAGGCTGTAAGGCTAGAAGAACCTTTTTAAAACACAGAAAATTGAGATTCTGAAACAGTGATGAGGCAAGGAGTGAACTGTGTTCAAGTTTCTGTGGACTATGTGGGGCCCTGCTTGTGTTTCTTGTAGGAGCACAGCATTGATATGGTTCGTGCCGGAATGACTGAATAATCCCCTCTCAATATACATGCTTAATGAGTCCCAATTTGCCATCTTTTTTTTTTCTTTTTCTTCTTTTTTTAAGCATGTAAGCTCATCAGTGAATAACATTCCCATATCCGAAGTATTGGTGTAGAGGTATTGCACTAACAGTAAACATATAAGTGGCACGTCTACAGCTCTTGGTATGATGTTGAGAGCAAATACTTAAGGGGAAGGAAAGCTTTTAGTGCATGTCAGTTTTCTTTTTCCTTCTGTTCTCAAAAAAAATCTGAAACTAATACCTCCTTAAAGTAATAATTCTTGTGTGTTACGTAAGAGTCTTATGTTTTATAATATAGAATTATAAAATAAATTAATTCTATATTTTAACATTTTATTCTTTCAAAAGATTTGTAGTAGAGTTTGAGGTGCTCATTAGATAATCTTGGGGAGCGGTAATTCAGAACTTGCTTTGGGACTGCACTTCAGTTTTCAGTTGAAGTAGCTAAGTTCAATGTTGAGTTTTGTTTTTCTTTGTTATCTAATTCAAGAATGTCCAAGCTTGTATGCATCTCCTTGTGAGTTGATTAGAATTAGGATCTGTGTTATGAAGAGTGTAATGTGGTCATTCTTTTAACCAGAAATGTGAAAAAAAGCTTAATCCACGAAGACTTCAGGATAATTTTGAAACGGGTAAGTATATTCCTAACTTCCATACACATGTGACTATGTTGAGGGTTGAAGGTGTTCTGTACATGGGGGATTACATATACCAAGATGCAGGTTAAATGAAGCAACTTTTTCAGATGAAAAGTCTGAATTTTTAGAACTGCATAAACTTCTTGCAGCTCATGCTAAGAAGAGAAACCATTTATTTAAATCAAAGTTTCCACTCCTTTTTTTTATTTGTGAAATCTGTGGGATTACAGAATCAGAGTTGCAGAAGAATCCCCCCACCCCCCAAACCTGTGGTATGCAGACAATATTTACTGTTGTGTGTAAAACAAAATACTTACTACAACTCCTATGAAATTGGCCTTGACTATGACCACTAGAAGGCCAGTAAAGGTGAGGGATTCTTTTGCTACCCTATTTGTTTGAAACCATGACCAAATTAACCAAGCTGCCAGGGTGATTTGATATTAATTGAACAAGTTTCTTGTACAGCAGTGTAAAGCTAATACAAGCATATTATCAAATAATCCCCTTGATCAATAACTGTTCAAGGTTTTCTGCAGTTAAGTTTTTTGTTCTTTTTTGTTTTTTAAAGCAGATGCAGCCTATGACATGTGTTGCTCCAGTGAAGACCCGCTGCTAGAACAGACAGAGGGAGACTCTGTGGCATGTAATGGCCATTACAAATTCACTTTCTCATCGAGAGCTTTCTTGAGCTTCAAGTTTGACCATGATGCCATCATGAAAAGTTTTAACCTCTGACAGCAAGCCTGTTCTAGAGGAACAAAAATCAAAGACTTGCCTGTTGCAGTTGAGTGGGTTTTTAATCCAGCCTTACTTTTTCTCAGGAGTTTTCTGTGTGTTTGTTTTAATGCAATGCAGGGACTGGTATGGTGATCTAAAGGGTTCATTCTTTTTGCAGTATGGGAGTGGCAGTGAAGTGTTGCACTTTAAATGCAGTATAGCCTTTACCTACAAAAGTACCTTTCCAGTGTTTAGTTTGCTCGTTCCTAGCTGTACATTAGAGGGCATTCTTTTCTGTTTGTTTGTTAAAACTTGCTGCACATTTAGATTTGTCATTCATTGCAATATTTTAGTGTTGGCAGTACACTAACACTGAACTTTTAGCCTGCTATGATGTAAAGCTGTTGCAATATTCAGTCTTTATTCTCCAGTACTTGGCAATAGTATAGCAATGGCAAAGAAAGTAATTCTCAGAGGACTCCTGTATTCTCTATCCCAGTAATGGCAAAACCTAAAGTTGCACATTTCTCCTCCCCAGTTGTCTGCCTAGACTGTCTTCTCTTTATATTGAAACTTGTTTCAAAATGACTTGCAATGAGTAGGATTCAAAGTTATATCCTTTGGGTTATGTTTTGCCATGACTTGCAGCTTTTCTTTTTTTTTTTTTTTTTCCTGTGGCGATACCTGTGATGGACAGAACTTGCCACTTCACATGGCGTAGCATCATATCTTTGTCCGCAAAAACTGTCTGACTGGAAGAAAATCACCTGCAGTTTCTGTTTAGTTGCAGCTAATATCAAGAAATTAGGAGACGCTAATTTCTGTGAGAGGGGATTCTTGTGTAACATTTTTTATATTCAATAATAATCTAAAATACCCTCTAATCTTGGGAGGGAGGAAGCATCCGGGCAAATGTCTGACTGGATAGAGAATACCTTACGTGCCGCTTATAGGTTTGCAATAACCTTTTTAAGTGTCCATTATAGTGTTTTACACTGTCCTTAGGGGTTTTTAGTGTAATGTATGTTTATATATCCAATAGTATTGAATTTTATATTGCACTTGCATCTCAGTGTCTGAAAACTGTAGCTGAGAATGACTGAAGCTACAGCCTTTTAATAACAATATAAAAGATGTGAAAAATTAGCAGTAGCAATTCAGGGGATGCATTAAAAAATACTAGTCCTACATTCTGATCCAGCTGAGCGAGTTTAAATACTTACATTTTAACTTACTGCAGAGGATCTTACAGGGGAACATTTATCTTGGCAATGAACAACTGTATTTTGTATATCTTCAAGTGAACTGTTCTCTGAAATAAATAAAGGTTAGTGGGTGTGTGATTTGGAGGGCTGAATGCCTTAATTGACTTTGGTCATTCCAAGGCTGAGTCTTCTGACCAGAGAATGTATATTCACTCACGGACAGCCTTTTTTATCTCATGCAATCTCTGTGTTCTTGCAAGTACCCGTGTTGCCTGTTAGTTTGTTTTAGTCCTCAATAAGTAGTTACACAGCTTATTTTTTACCTTCACCTTCTTGCCTCTCCCCTTTTTGGGGCCATGCAATTTATGAGTTTTTAATGATGGTAAAATATTTTGTTAGCTGGAGAAGCTAGACTCTTACCTTTTCGTTAATAGGAGAAATTGACTTCAACATTTTTCCCATTTGGATCAGAAAGTCTTGAAATTACTTGGTTTAAAGCCATTTTTCTTGGCTTGCTAGGCTCTTACTGAAAAAAAGCAAGAGGTCAGTCTTTTGACAGTCCGGCTTAATATCCAGAGGTTGCTTGCATTGATAAATGCAAAAGTGCTGTCATTAAGTGAGAAATTGGGATAATAAGGTTGGGAAAGGATGAAGCACCAGTCAATTCTTTTTAGCTGAAGTAGTTGATTTCCCAGCAATAAGTGCCTAGCTTGCAATGAATGGGAGGTTAGCATTCGCATCTCCAGGCTGCTAGTGCCAGTGGGGGAAATGACTCTTAAGGCATGATTGGAAAATCAAGATTTGGAAATTTTTAATTTTAGTAGGTTGACTTTCAGGGGTGTTGCTGTAACACTTCTGAATGGAGCAGAGATTAAATAGGGCCTTTAAAAAGGCAAACAAATACGTTGATAGAGCAAAACTCATTTTAAATTTGTAACTTGTTTGTTAACAACTTGGGCATTTAATGGTTGTCAGAAGTGAGGGGAGAAGTCTCTTGAGAAATAGCTGTGCAGAATATCCCTAAGTGGAATATGCACTCTCTGCCCTGTCAGCTTGGTTACAAAGTGCAGGTCTTTTTTTTTTTTTTTTTTTTTTAAAAGGG